AAGCCACCCCCCTCCACAGGCAGAAGGGTTCGGCACCTTGTAATTCATACATTCATAATCCACTCGACCGCCTCCGGGCTCCGAGACGTAGGGCTGTTACTTCTTCCGAGAAGGGCCTGAACTCGTACATCCTTTGTGCTTACAACCTCTCCATAGCTAGGACCTTGCCTCTCCATACCTACCCCCACTCTACTGTTAGGCTTAGAACCACGACACCACTCACTCTGCAACGGTCAGGATTTAAGTCATAGCTTTAATAATCATTTATGGGACTTTACTCCGGATGTTACCAGTAACGTTCATCCTTTATGAACATTGAACCCTGTGTAACGGAGGGGAGCTGGGGTCCTGGCGCACTCTATATAAGCCACCCCCTCCTCTGGGGCAAGGGTTCGCACCTTTTGTAATTCACACACATATATCCAGTCGACCGCCTCCGGGCTCCGAGACGTAGGGTTATTACTTCTTCTGAGAAGGGCCTGAACTCGTAAAACTCGCGTGTACAACTCCTCCATAGCTAGGATCTTGCCTCTACATTCCTACCCCCCCTATTCTACTGTCAGGCTTAGAACCACGACAGGCGATTCACCACATGGACATGAAGTCGGCGTTCCTCAACGGCGACCTGGTGGAAGAAGTATATGTCCAGCAGCCACCGGGGTTCGTCGCCGCTGGCCAGGAGCATAAGGTGCTGCGACTGCGGAAGGCGCTGTACGGACTGCATCAGGCCCCGAGAGCGTGGAACGCCAAGCTCGACGCAACTCTTGTCGCCATGGGCTTCCGCCGCTACAACTCTGAGCATGCGGTCTATGCACGTGGATCCGGCCACGAGCTTCTTCTTCTGGGGGTGTATGTGGACGATTTGGTGATCACCGGAGCAGATTTCAAGGAAATCGACAACTTCAAGAAGGAGATGAAGGGCACATTCAGGATGAGTGATCTCGGGCTGCTCTCCTATTACCTAGGCATTGAGGTGCGCCAGGAAGCAGCCGGGGTGACCATCGCTCAGAGCACGTACGCCGACAAGATTGTGGAGAGGGCTGGACTGGCTGGGTGCAATCCGAGTTCGACACCCATGGAAGCACGTCTGAAGTTGAGCAAGGACAGCACGGCGGCTCCGACCGACGCAACAACATACAGAAGCTTGGTGGGGACGCTGCGCTACCTCACGAACACATGGCCTGACATCACCTATGTTGTCAGCTATGTGAGCAGATTCATGGAGTCACCCACCGTCGAACACCTGACGGCGGTAAATCACATCATCAGATATGTTGCGGGGACACGCAGCTTGGGCTGTCACTTCCCGCGCCGAGGAACTGGAGGAGCAAACCTCTTTGGGTACAGCGACGGCGACATGGCTGGTGACATTGATGATCGCAAGAGCACGACGAGGGCACTGTTCTTCATTGGAGAGAGCCCCGTCATATGGATGTCGCAGAAACAGAAAGTGGTGGCCCTCTCATCTTGCGAGGCAGAGTTCATAGCGGCCACCACTGCTGCCTGTCAGGGGGTGTGGGTGGCAAGACTGCTCGCAGAGATCACCGGCGAGAAGCTGCAGGTGACTATGCTTCTGGTGGACAACAAGTCCGCCATTGCACTCTGCAAGAATCATGTTCTGCATGACATAAGCAAGCATATTGACTTGCGCTACCACTTCATCAGAGAGTGCATAGAAGAGGGGAAGATGGAAGTCGATTACATCAGAACTGGAGATCAGCTGGCTGACATCCTGACAAAGCCTCTGGGATGAGTCAGATTCTTTCAGTTGTGTGACAAAATTGGGATGAAGAAAATAATGTAGGCAGACTATAGTTTAGGGGGTGATTGTTGAATAAACCCAAGTCTGGAGGTTTTTAGGCTAGTGTAGTTTGTTTTCTTCAGTTTCGTCAGGTAGTTTCAGGTAGCGAGAATAGCTCATGTTTTCGTTGGAGTCTAAACGAGTCTTGCGGCCCCTCCAGATCGCTCGTGGGATGGCACAAGCACCACGATCGGTGGTGGCGGAGTGTAAGGGGTCACGACCCGTTTTCCTTGTTGCTTCCGCAAATAAAACGAGAGAAAGAAGAGCAGAAAAGCTGCAAGTTTTACGCAACGCAAAACCTCCCTGTTCTTCCTGTCATTTGAGTTTTCAAACAAAGATCAAGGTGAGGTGAGTGAGATAGGCTAGAATTTGCCAACACAACTTACCTCTGTCTATTTATTAGGCCAAAAGGGTCTGTCTACGGCTTTTAGTTTGTTGGGAAATGTCTACAGCTTAATTGAATGGGAATATATATTGTTTCTCCATCGGCTTTGCACATCTATACCTACTAATAAAAGAAACATAGGTATTCTTAGTCCGTCATGCTATTTTGTAGAAAACCCCTGACGTTTCTGACATTAAACCTGCTGTACATAACAATTGTTTTTAAAAATACTTATATCTTCTAAACCGTAACTTCAAATTTAACATGATATATATGGAATTTGATTATAAAAATACGTAGAATCTAAATATGATGTTATTTTATTTGTTAACAACTTTTTTATTAAAATACTATCTAGGCTGCAATGTTAATCAACAATGCATTATCCGTCTTTTTTCATACCGGTACTGATTCAGATTGGGGATGAACACCTCAACAAAATCAGGATTTGACATGAAATTGAAGATAAATTTGCTAGAGACACCCAATAAATAAATACATGCATGACAAAAAATAAAAAAATAGACCCAATAAAGATGGGATGTCCACTATAAAATAAATAAAGGAGAAAATGCAGAGGAGATCTGATAAAAATGAGATGTTGCATTATTATCCTATATATAAGAAGAAGAAAAAAGAGGACATGCATGAAAAAATTAAAAGGAGGCATGCATGAAGAAAAAAAAGACAAATTTGATAAGATATAAGTAGTGATGAAACAGGGACCAATACCTATAACATGTGTGGCAAGAAATAGTGATGAAATAGGGGCACAAGTACGTGCGTCAACATGAGACCATACAAGAATGTTATTTTCTAGACAAAAAACTCCTTTTATGATTAAAAATATTGTGTCTTTTTAACAACTCTTCGTGTATTTGAGAAATAGCTACAAATTCTCGGAATATAGAGCATTTTTGCAAATTAAGAGCGTTTGGTATTATTTTTTTCTCCTGTTGCAATGCACGGGCCTTTTTGCTAGTCTATTCATACAAATCTAAGATAATAATTATGTTCATCTAGTGCAAAAAATATAGAACTTGTTCTCATTGCTTAAAAAAGGAATTCACATGAATTACAATGTTAAATCATTAGATCACCTGTTCTCAGAGTCATCGTAGACTGGGAAATAAAAAAATCTGATAGAGAATTAGTAAAAAAATCAAAGGTTTGCCTGCTTAATACGAGGAAACCCGAGCAAATATTATGATTACAACTCACACATAAAGATAAAAAAGATACGATCAATAGCACCCTGACGTGGCCACCAACAAAAGCTCGACACATGCCAAGGATATCCATCTACCGAGGCCATCAACAAGCATGATCGTCTCATCACCCATCTCTCCAGATGCATCGATTTCGACCACACAACACACGATGGAAAAAAACACCGAACACTGCAACAAACACACTACCATGTTGCTCCTTACCAAGTAGTCGGCCATATATGCCCACCATTGCTCTTCTACCCGAGTCACAATGCCAACGGATCCGGGAACTGTTCTGACCTCCATACGGACAAGCCACGAGCAACTGGTCCCGCCAACGTACAACGGCTCCATGATGATGCCTCTAGGAAGAGCATCAATGCAGGAAGTGTAATCCTCATCCAATCAAAGAAGATTTCAACCAAGGGTTTCCGTTAGCTTGGGTCTAGGGGCGAGGAGGAAAAACAACATCACACCAGTGCTTCCTAGGAGGTTAAAGGTGCCTAGCAGAATTTCATCGTCACCTATTTTGGCCAAAGCACCATAACATGATAAAATGGGTTTAACCCAAATCTACCTTGGCTTCTCCAACCCATCATCAATCATTAGACTACCCGCGTGCTATCAGCTGCATCTGCCAAACTAGATCTCGAGATGTGAGTATAGAAACAAGTACAATGCACATCACAAGAACACAAATAAACAAAATTTGCGAGTAGATAGTACGTACAAAGTCCAAATTTGGTGCGAACAATACCCGTTTGTGCTACTAGTCGTGGTTGTGTTGTGTTGATACTTAGCAAGTAGTGGTCTAAATTTTGATTTGAATTGTTGTGGCATGAAGAATGTAGATTATATTGTGCATGTGCCATCAGTTTGCTCTCTCCATCGGTCGACCTCACGCTCATGGTTGTGCTAATCTAACTCATGAAAATACAGAATTATTTTGCTCAAACATAATATCATAAAAATCACATATATCTCATTACCAAGGTGTGGCAAAATGCCACATCTGCTTATTGAACAGTAGCAACACATCCTTGTAAAAACACATTACTTAAGGAGACACATCCTTGTAAACACACATTACTTAAGGAGCCTACACAAGTACACCACATGCACGATTATTTCAACTTTTCTAGCTAAGTACCGTGTGATGCGGCCATCATGTATTTGTAAGCACACACACTCGCAAGCTCGAGCTTATTTATTTGCCTACGAGCTAGAAAATGGCTGATTAATCAGTTAGATAGATCAGACATGAACCTTCCAGTACATTTATTCCAGCTTTTTTAGATATATAATATATCAAGTACTGGTAAACCCAAGCTTCGCCTTGGACTGTGGTCGTGGAACTTGGTTGATCAATCAGTTGGATAGATCAGGTGAACCTTCTCCCACCGGTGCCCGTCGGTCGCTGGCAGTTGAAGTACATGGCGGCAACGGGCTGGCTGAGGTTGAAGCGGCGTGCGAAGTTGCACGAGTTAAAGTTTTGGCGCACTTGTGGCGCAAACACTGTCCCCCGCCCTAGCTGCTGGTACAACACCAACACGATGCGGTGGATGCCCATGGTCGGTCTTGGGCTCTCATATGGCACAATCTCTTAGCCTGCCATTTCATCAACGAATAAGGTAGTTAAGATATGATAAACATGCACTTTTCCCCGGAAAAAGAAAAAGGGATAGCATGTGATTTGTGATTTTTTTACTGTATTTGTCCCCTTCCTTGAGATAATTGATTTGCAGTAAGGTGGAAGATGATGAAAATAACAGTTGTAAAACCGTCTTTAGATTCAACATGGGTGTGCATGCATCATTTTGTTCACTACTTGAAGCTATTATTTATGTATATGCCGGAATTTTCTTGCTTACCCTGATTAGCATGGGTGCATTGGTAGCCAATTACTTGTAGTCACAGAAAATGAACTTTAAGTGTATTGATACGTCAATCATAAAATGTCAGATTAGATACATGCTTTCAATATACTCATCGCCATTTTTCAGGGCATTACTCCCTCGATCTTTAAATATATGACATTTTATGGAAATATATGACATCATAGATATTTATATTGCTTTTCGAGGATCTCACCATTTCACCTAAACCTCATTTAGTTCGGGAAGGAAGTTTGTAGTGCAATTATGTTCCATTGATGGGGCGTTAAAATGGCAGTTGCTACTTGGTAACATAATATGTGTTTTACCTCAACATAAAGCCAATAATCCATTATGTGTTCTCTTCTTGAAGTCATATTACACAAGTAAAAAAAATGCCTCATTTTAAAGTAAATATTCTTCCTTCAATTTTGTGTGTGTCAGTTATGCAACTTCTTGCTTACACACAATTATACCTTTCACTATATGTATAGCAACATTGCACCAATTGATGTGGAAAATACCTAACTAGGTTTGCCAAATACTTTGCAACAATAATTAAAAAAATCTAGCATTATAAAAAATATTCTACAAGTACAATATACAAAATAATACAATTTCATACATCAGAATAATTTAAACAATAACCTTTTAAAATTATACATTAAGTATAAGGGTTTGCGCATGAATGGAATATCAACTGTAATACCTTGTATGAACCATTTGGCAGAGAGCATGGATGAAAACTTTAGTGTTATGGGAAGAAATTTTAACATATTATTGGATGAAGGAAAGTTTTACATGAATGCAAGGTATGGTAACTGTGTGTGCTTGTTTGCATATAATGTGGATATATACTCACCAAAGCTATTGTTTGTTGAGGATGGGACATCTGTCACCATCCTGCATACCAAAGAAATAAAATAATTAGAGAAGTTCACCAACTTATAGTTGTGATCCAAAAAACGTGCATGTCGTAGAAGAAGACAACTCGTGTAGGAGTTCCGACTTACCAATGCAGGTACTCCCTCAGTGTCGGGTTGCTGGGATTAGGCGCATCAGGATCCACCATAACCTAATTATTTGCAATTAACACAACACATGGCCGACATGTTAGGGGATAAAAATTAACCATGGTTATATTTTGGGTCGAGCTACCAACAAACAAGTTCATGCAACATGCAACAATGAGCTTGCTAGGTGAAGCCCTTGGTCTCCCATGCTCTTTGGAGTCCACACCACACCATACACTATGTCCTATTATCAGTGCAGTACTCCTTTTGAGTTCAAAGTAATAGGCTTACTAGGGTATAGGCAACACGAAAATCATCACCGCCGATATCAACTCTAGGTTTTAGAGAGACTGACGGTGACCGCAACTCCATGCCATTAAACACAGGCCTCCCATCATACATCACAGTTAGAGGCACTGAGCTAGCAAATGGGTCTAAAACAGCTCCAACTATATGCGCCCTTGTCAAGGAGTCATTCGCCATGATATTTTGGAGTCTCAAAGCATGTGTATACACTCTTCAACTACAAAAGCATGGAAGATTACAAGGATTTGAGGAGCTATTTATAGACCCCGAGAGGGCTCTACTTTTACATGTGCGTGCCAACACACACACACGCACGCGCGTGGTTCATATTCTAATAATTTTGACAATTTCTACTCCCTCGAACAAGAGCTTGCTTTCAGTTCACGTTAGCTACATTCGTTTTAATAGAAATATGGTGCCAATCTACTTTCCACAATATGCCCTTCTACTTGTTTGGTAGAATTTTAGACTTTATTCCTTTGTCGTGCTAGTGTTTTTAGCACCATCTCTTTCACGCGATAAGAGCACATATAACAAATGTTTGGGAATCGCATATGTCCTTACCATATCAATTATATAGAGTTATATATCTTGGGTTCTTCCACGCATTAAATTCCAAGAGGAAGGCCTCTACTTCTGATTTTACATGGTATCATTTATATATAATTGGGCATGTATCAGTTGGCTAGCTACAGTGTCAATTAGCCCCAATGCTTAATATAATACTATGCGTCAGCATTCAGTATACATCATTATATCAATTTTACATAATACGGTTTCAGATAGGAGGAAAAACGTCGGCCTCGACTTTGGTTGATGTACACTGCCATCACTTCTACATAAGTTCCAATCTTTTTTCCTTATGACAAACAAAAAGTGATACACTTTTAAAATTGAAACAAAAATATAGTAGACGTGTACAAGGGCACAAACCATATGTGGTGTTAAGTCCTCAAATTGGCCGCTTTGACTTATACATTTTAATAAAATATTGTTCTTGTCACTAATTTTTAATTCATTAATTTGACAACTATTAAAATTGATAATGTTTAGCATGCACGTATACAAATAGAGGATCTCTATTGTTGAGAACAGATTCCATGCATGATTTTTATGCCCATGAGCTCATACACCTCTGAAACAGCCATGCATAGTTGACCCTTCAATAACTTCTCCAATTTCTCTCACAAAATACTGAAAAATATGGAGACGTTAATTTATTTTCTCAAAGTTATGGTTTGTCTATAGTATTCTTGAGTTGTGATCTTGGCCCCTTTGTTTTGTGCTCAACTTGGTTTTCAGTAAAGCATTTTGAGAATGTGTTTTCAAAATTTCTCAAAGCAATACACCGAGCTAGGCTTTTGCTCTGCTTTATATATAAAGAAACCACCATAATCACACAAATCGTACACGCGTAGGAAGGGAAAATAGAGTCTGTTGCGGCAACATCACAAACACGCCCAGGTGAAATAAAGAAACATACCAATAGAGGATCATCAATCATGTTGCCTAGACGGTCCTTGTCTCGATGCCTCCAGATCCAGTAGTGCTGCAAGAAGGCCACAAATTTAAACATCGAGTCAGTAGCACATCGTAGAAAGGCCGACTCAATAACCATTTGTTATGTGTAGTCCAAATGGTCTAGGTCATCACCGTAAACACTAACCAGAAGAGGCGCCCCCACATACCGGTATGGTTTTCCTCACTGGCGGAGGCCCCCGGTGGGCAAGATATGGCAGCCGCCATACCTTGATTCTAGGCATAAACAAATGTATACATACGCATGTATTGTCGATTGTCTCGTTCCCTCATTCTAGTGCAGCGAGAAAAAGGCCGCTGGCACACAGGCACGCCACACACACGAGTTGGGCCGGCAAACACAAGAACGTACGAGTTGGGCCTGCTGGCACAAACAGGAAGCGGTCGAGCTCGTTGATTCCATTGAGCGCCAACCCACACGCACGCGCAAGTGACGAACCCTAGCGCAGCGATGGTGGCTGGTCAGGTCGTGATCCGGGCGGGCAACTGGCGACGGGATAGCCTACGACACCGACGTGCTCGGGGCTTAAACGGCGGCGGCAGCAAGCTCCAGTGATGACAGCAAGGTTGCATTTGATGGGCTACGTCCTAAAAATGCCAAAATGACTTCCGGGACAATTCAAAAAGACCTTGTCATGGCTGATCTTTTTTTCGTGTGGACACCTTCTATGCTGCTATAGATTCCATCACCACAGAGTTTGATCATCGTTTTGATGAGGTATCTTCAGACCTGGTCCAGATCTTCTCTTGTCTTGACCTAAGAAACTCCTTTTCTAGGTTCAACCTGAATAAGCTTGCTAGGCTCACAGAGATTTATCATGATGATTTCTCTAATTATGAGCGTGAACATATAGAAGATAACCTTGATCTATTCATTATCGATACGAGAAGAATTGAAGACTTCAGATATTGTCATGATATTGCAAACCTAGCTAAAATGATGGTCGAACTTCAAAGGCATGTCATGTTTCCTACTGTGTATCGCCTCATGGAGTTGGCATTGCTACTACCGGTAGCGACGACAACAATCGAAAGGGCCTTCTCATCAATGAAAATCATCAAGATTGAGTTGCGCAGCAATATGACAGATGGTTGGCTTAATGACTTGACGATTTGTTATATTGAGCGAGAGATCTTCAAAAGTATTGATCTTAGTAAAATCGAGGAAGATTTTTAGAATGAGGGTAGGGCATTGCCATTGCCTAGGTCTTCTAGGCGGCATTGAAAGCTTCATTATTGGTACGTTTAAGGTTGTTTTCCTATTGAAACATGACTACATTTTCATTGTATTTGGTTTTTTGTTTGTAATGTGTGTTGAATCTTTTGATTTGCATAAAAAATATATTCTTAAGACTTCGCCACACCTTAAAAAATTTTCGTCCTCCGCCTCTGGTTTTCCTGCACTTCTAGAAACTCATCAAAGTCTAGCTAGGGCCAGCCACTCAGGCCACAGGGCATATTGGACAAAACCCCAAAGGAAATGGGCAGCGGGGCATGAGAAAAGAATGTGGGTCCCAAACTCAAGAACCACACAAAGAAAGAAGAGGCCATCGCCCATGCTGCTCAAAGTAATTCACAAAGTGTTCCTTTCAATGTCAAGAACATTTCAAAAATAGATGCAACGTACCAAGGTGGAAAAACAAAATTAATGATGATGTCCTGGTTCATTTGTTTGTTGACCGAGCACTTATTTTTAGTTCATGGACCTCATTACCGGGCTTGCCGGCTGGGCAATGCCTTACGTTGTTACCAAGGAGGGAGTATGCTATTTTACGGTGATTTACATGAAAAATAACATCTTGAGCGTCTGGACTTATGGTTTTCCCAGGGTTCAAAGAGTTTCTAGGTCTGGTAGTTGTTGTTTTGGCTTAGACTCAGTCGCACAAAGTTAGACTTCAACGAGGTTATTGTTTGATGATGACTCCCCAAGATGTCAAACCTTTTTAATAAAAATAATGGTTGCACATCATGTTATAACACACGTATACTTGCAGGATTTAGTGAGAAAATGTGACCAGTCGTTGCACCTGTTAGGTAGTTTCTGTACATGATAGATAGATCATCAATCGTTGCACCTTACAAACTTAGCTCTTGATATATCTATTTAATCTTATATATGTGCAACTGCATCCCATAACCAAAAACTGAAGGGTCTTGCTCTCTTGTACCTTATTTGTCGAATATGCTCTATTATACCTTCCTAAATTAACTTCCATCAGAATGCCACACGTGATGTTCTAGGCTAGAATGATAGGCCGTGTATGTCAGCTGAAAGAAAGAAGCAAACAGCTTGCTCAAATGCAAATCGACACGTCATGTATGTAACCGTGGGCCTGAGATTAACGCTATGCAGGAATGTTATTCCTCTGTACTACTAAAGCAGTGTACTACATGTAATTTTCGGTCCCCGTCGCTTCGTTTATCTATTTGTGACCCAATTCTAATTCCACCGATCTATTGTGGAAGAATATAACCTCACCTCCACTATATACTAACTTTGGTTTATATTCTCCCGTCGCGATATTACACAGTAATATCTCTTGTGGCCTGTTGCCTTTTAGCTAGATCAAATAATAGTTCATATCCTACAAATTTGCCTAGGAATTATGCTTGACTGTGGCTAAACTCTGATGGCCAAAAACTATGCAAACATAAGTAGACTATACCATAGATGCATCACTAACATTTTGACATAAAACTGAGCTCAGTGCTTAACAAACAACATATTAAGAAAAGGATACTAAAATAATGATAGTGTTGTGGTATATATGCAAAATATTTTTTAAAGGAGGCAAAAGACTTGCCTCGTTCATTAATTAGGGGGGGGGGGAATAGAGTTGAAGTTTTTGTTACAACACCTAGGTGCGAGAGCACCAAAGCAAGAGCCCACTCTTGTGGCATGATTACACCCAATTTTTTGGCACCCGCGGCTACCCAAGTTAGAGCCTCTTACTTAATATTCACCAGGAGAACTGTCGGTAGTGCGCTCTTGAGTTGTAAGATACAAACATTTCTTCCATTCTAGATGGTCCAGGAGGTGATAAGTGAGAGAGTAGCCATCGCCTGCCGGTTTGGAACGGTAGAGTCAGAAAGACTAGTCCACCAAACTTTGATGGAACGTTCCAAGTGCCAGTTGGTGGTGTCAATGTTTTCAAGTTGAACTCATTCCTTAATCATGGCCCGGAGCCTTATGGAGTATCTGCACTTGAACATGAGGCGCTCGACGATTCCTACTCGCGCTTGCAAAGGGGGCAAAGTCTATAGTTGGACCATCTCCGCTTAGCCAACCGGTCAGCGGTTCAAACCCTATTTTACATGGCCAACCATGCAAAAAAATTGACCATCGGAGGATCCCAAGCCTTCCAAACCGCCGGTTCCAAGGGGGGTAGAGAAGGCCGAAGAATTGTGCCAAGTAAGCAAACTTGGCTGTGTAGATCCTGCTCTCGGCGTGTTTCCATATGATGTCATCTTCGGCGTTATCCTCGAGGGTGAAGCCACAAATGGTTGTCCAAAGCATAATGAATTATCCTAGATGCTCTAAGGTGGAGTTGGTGATGACCACAAGCTTTGGAGAATGTCATCAAGGAAGATGTGACCATATCGAATCAGAACCATCGAGCTTTTCTGAAAGTTAGTGC